TTTAAATAGTGTTATCTTTATTTTAAAATGAAAAGAAAAACATGACATGTGATTGCTGTATTTGCAACAATGGTCAAATTCTTTCTTCAAATTAGCAAGTTTTTGTCTCTGTTGAGTTCATGATTTTCATTCATCCATCCATTACTCTCACGAACCTTTTGTTACATCAGCATTTTCACAGCTTTAAAAGTGCCATTTATGGACTGCTCAAACCCGGCCAATCAGAGGGCTGCTCTCAGCTCTTAGTTCTGAGTTGTCTTTAATCAAGGTCGTTTCACTTTCTTTTTATTTACTAATGCAGGTGTTTTCTTCAAAGGAGACACTGACTTCTTTGAGCTTTCAACCATGTTGCATGTTCCCTCATCAAAAACAAACATGTGACTCCGCCCCTTTCTGTCTAAAAGCTTCTGTCACAGTCCTGTAATAGTATGATGTCATTGTACCACTGTGACATCACACTCAGAGCAATGTTCTGCTTTTTAAATCAAAAGTATTACCCATACATTAGTTTTGGCATTTTCTCAAGTGAAATTACAATATAGCGGCTATGTTTGCTGCTGGTAAATTTTTAATTTGAAACAAACCAAAAAATCACTCCCCCTTCTGGTGGTGGCATGGGGAGTTTCAGAGAGTTTTTATTTCACATTCTAAAAGATGAAATAAGAAATTAAAGAGTCTGATTTTTACTGGCCAACAATAATATATATTTTGTCTTTAAAGCTGCATTACCTCACTTTATTTTTGTATTCATTACGAAAATTCTATCCATATCCATGCAATGCATTGGGATATACGTCCTTTTGAAGATAAAGAAGCGCAGATTTGTGCTGGCGTGTCATTTTATTTTAGATTGAGTTTTTGTGCAACAAGGAAGAGGATTTGTTTCGGGACCAGATTGTGACCAATCACAGCGGACCACTGGCCCCCACTTTCTGGAGAAAAGCTACAGGTCTCTTGTTAGCACAGACAGCTGAGGTAAACCAGCGTCGGAGGCTAACCTGAAGCTTCCCGTGTCTTCTTTACCGGTTACTACTTACTCAGAGAAACATTCATCCAAAAGAAAGTATCGTTCCACCGCACTTCCCGATTCTATCCTTCTATGGTCACGCCATCCAGCGTTCATGGGGGGCGATAGCTTCGTGGGGAGGGCGAGCAGAAGAAAATTTCCCAAAGTGAGTTAGTGCACATTTAAGTGGGCCATACACTTCCATTTACAAACTTGCAGGTTTCTGATACATGCCCAACAGTTCAATTGTTGACATTTTCTTTCTCTAATCTTTGGACCAAATCCACTGAAACAATGGCACAATCTTTTGCGGGGAACAAAACTTGGGTGGAAACATCTGGGCTTATGGGCTTTACAAACTGAACAGAGGGGTTGTTTGTTGTGGTTAAAGTTGCCGATGGCCATCTTCTGTTATAAAGTCACTCTGAAGCGAATCAAAAACATTTTTCCTGAACATGACAAAATAGTTAACAGCCATGTGTGCATTTAACTCAATACAAATGTTAGACAGTATATTTTAGGGATTTAGTAATGTCATACAGTAATGTCCTCATCTCCCATGTGACGTGGCTTTGATAGAGAAATCCTCCCAAATACTTCATGATGAGTCAGGTCCGGGTCACAGGAAGGACGTCTAAATAATCCAGACATCCAGTAAATCAGACCTGAAGTTCAAGTATCAGTTTTGCATCTTTCTGTCACTGCTGCTTCTGCAAATGTGTTATCACGTTGACTATCTCACTAAATGGGAATACATCTGAGGCCAAACATTAATTATTAGGCCCGAGCCCCGAACGGGGAAAGGGCCTATTGTTTTTGCTCGAGAGATGTCAAATTCTGCACTTTGAGCCTTAATTTCACCCCCTGAACATGCATGAAAAGTTGTAAAATTTTGCCCAAACATCAGACCTGGTGAAAAATTTGATATTTGGGTGTTTATTTTTATGGGACTCAAAAAATGCCAGAACAGCGCCACCTACAACAGCCAATGGGAGTTTCAGAGGTCAAGTTTGTCGTAGAGCCATGAAATTCGGTACACATGTTCCTCAAGTCAAGATACGACCGAAATGTTACCATGGCTCCGCCCTCTGACAAACAGGAGGCCCATAAATTTCACTGCAAAATGGAAAAATGATCCGCAATCATTTTCATACATGTCGGTTGGAAAGCGACTCCTCCTCGGCCGTTTTACCGATTGGCCTCCATATCACTCCACAAAAAGTGGCGTATTTTTTTCAGTTTTTGACAATAGAAAAATTGTTTCCGTTTGCACAAACAAAGTCTGATTTGCACAAAACTTGAATACATGGTTCAACTCTAGGGTCTATGTCATTTGAAAGTAAAAATGTTGAAATTGGCTCCATAGCGCCACCTACAACAACCAATTTAAAAATGCCTATGGGAGGGGTTCGAGGTCAAAATTGTCGTAGAACCATGTAATTTGGTACAAATGTTCCTCAAGTCAAGACATGGAAATTTTTTTATTATGGCTAAGCCCTCTGACAAACAGGAAGCCCATAAATTTCATTACAAAATGGAAAAATGAAAACCAATCATTTTCATACATGTCGGTTGGAAAGCGGCGACTCCTCGACCGTTTCACCAATTGGCCTCAAAATTGCTCAAAAATATCTCAACACATGTGCCTTCAAAATGACTTCAGGGAATTTTGATCAATGAAACGTTGTTTGAGCAGCGGAGCGGCAAAATGTGAGGTTTTTTTCTGCCGTTTTTGACAACATTAATTTTTTTCCCGTTGGCACAAAGTCTGATTTGCATCAAACTTAAATCCATTGTTCAGCTCCAGGGTTTAGGTCAGGTGAAAGTGAAATATTTGAAATTGGCCCATTAGCGCCAATTTATACAATTTGACTATCAATCTTCTATGGCTAAGGGAACAAATCAGCACGGCGGCGCCACCTCCTTTGAGCAGTGCTGTGCGGTACGGTGTGGTGCGGCGTAGTGCGGGGCGTTGTGGAGCGGCGCGTTGCGGCTTGGTGCGGGGCGGCGTGATTCGGGACGGCGTGGTGCAGGGCGGCAGGGTGGCTAAGCACGGGGTGGTGCGCGCGGTGTGGGGGGTGCGCGGTGTGGGGAGTTGCGCGGTGTGGCGAGGGCCGTTCGACGCCGCTTGCGGCTTTAATTATCCATTATTTGTGTTTATTTATACTGTATCTGTATCATTTTGTGTTAAAGAATGTCAAATAATGTTAAAGGCTTTGGACACAAATGTACAACGTGTAAGAAAATTATCATAAGTCCATCTAGTGGTAGAAATTGGAAATTACATTCTGCTCATGTTAGATGTTAGCAGGGACGGATCTAAAAACATTTTATCAACCTCAACCTCTTTTACACAAATATAACTCTAACATGTGGCCGTACAAATGCAACATATTGACCTTGTTTTTTACAGCTGTTCCAACACATATTTTGACAGCTCTTATGCAACATGCCTTTTACCAAGTAACAAAATGAACCACAATTGTTTGAAATGAATATAACCTCAGCTTGTGTCGTGCAAATCTCTTGCACAAAAATACAGAAAATATCAATAGAGCTTCATTTCTATAGTACACAACTGCGTCATATGTTTAGTTATCTATCACTCTTAACTAACTTTTTGTTTCCTGGGTCTGACCGCACTGAGGACTGTGGGAAAAGCACTGTCTGGCTTAGTTCTCAGACAGTTCAGTTAAAGGACAGGCACAAATAGATTCTAAATGAAAATCCTGATACAGACGAACAGTGCATGAAGGATTGTCTGGTGATATGGGGCTTTCTAATGCAACACTAAACAGTCTCTGGGCAGCACCTGGCTTTTACACTGATGTAATTGCGGCTGATGAGATGATTTCCCAAAAGAGGAGACCATTTTTTAGGACGGGAACGAATAGCTTTGAGGAAACTTGATCTTGTCAGTGTTTAATGTAGGATACGAGTGGTTACTGTTAATAGTATCTTAGCATTTTGTCCAATTATTTACCATCTGAAAACTCTTAATCTATAACATAACCCTCTCCCACACTGCAAATCAACATTTAGGATCATATAAAGCGTGTAAATGTATAGTAAATGACAGACTGTAAATATTAACGAATTTAGTCACGCCTATCTCCTGACTGAAACTATTGTGCCCTCACTTTTTCAAAATGGCCGCGGGCAGCCCCTCCTGCAGGAAAATATGAAAAAACGCAGATAGCCAGCACCACTCCCATTCATTTACTGAGTGCCTTCTGAAGTCCACAGCGGATAAACTAGACTGGTCCAAAAACTATACTCCCCTCAGCATTGACACACATCTGGAACATAACTTTGGTCCAAGAGCCGACTTTCTGGGTCCACCCCCACAGGCCCGGGGTGGTATTGCAAGTATGTCAGCGCACATGCTCATGGATGTTTTTGAGCCCCCACTGGTTAATCAGAGACATATTTTGAATTTACTGGGGTGGCATTCTGGGCCCGTTCCACTGAAAAGAGGCCCCAGAGCCGATCCAGGACACATAAGGAGCTATGTCTGTCATGTGGCTTGGGAACGCCTCGGAGAAAGTGTCCATTTTCTGTATGTATTTTTTTGAATGGAACCGTCTGTATTCAATGAAAAACTTATGTTCAAAGCATAAAGGAACCACAGTGCTGTCTGGGAGTCAAACCTATAGGATCTTCTTTGTAAGAGGAAACAGCTTTCTCAAAAAATCTGGAACAGTCTTCCTGAAAATGTGGGACAGGCGTTTTCTCTGATAATGTTAAAATCCAGGTCAAAACAGTTTTATTTTAATGTACTGTGATTATTCATGATTTTAATGATTGATTCTATCTTGTTCTGTTCAGCACTCTGAGTTGCTCTGTGTAGTGCTAAACAGATAAACTTGCCTTGCCTTTCTCATCACTAGAGAGAGTTTGGCCGCCCTCCTAGAGACCAGATTGCAGACCAGCTACATGATGTATCCGGTGTAACAGTTTTATAGAATCTTATGCCTATATGTTTCTGTTGCAGCACACATTCTCGATGGATCCGTCTAATGTGGAGAATGGAAGAGGAAAAGTCCCTCATGATCCCAGTCTTCCCTTTGCCAGCACCTTCAACGGTAATCTATCTATCTAAGTATTCACATCAGCATTAGCAATTGGCAAAAACCAGGGGCCCATTCATAAAACTGAAAGGAGATAAGTGAACATAAAGATCAATCTAAAACTTCCTCATATTTCTCAAGTTGGAGGAGATTGAATGAACATGTATATAAACCAAATGTTTTGCTTAATCCAATTTCTTTTAAATATTATTATAATTACATATACATTATTGTTTTTAGGACTTATGTAAAAACAATAATCTTGTATCTGGTCTTTTTAGCCACTCATTTAGTTTCAAAAGTCATCATCAGGACTAGGTTTTCAGACCAAGTTTCAGGCATCTTATTTGAAAACAATAGAGGATAAAGTTGACATTAAAAACTTCTGCAGTAGATCAACCCCTGGACAAATAACTCTGCTTTTTCCATTTAGTCACTGCTTTTGTCTTTTATCTATGAAAGCATCCTGTGGCTTTGTAGAAATATCTATGCCGTTAACTGAAATAGGGACAATGACCTCATCAGTAACATAGATATCAAGCCGATCGTTTTTCCCAACCGAAGGTAAGCTATCTGATTTCACTTAAAACTCTCTAAAATGTGGACAGATGTGCACAGCTGGGAAATATCTGTCCCATAATGCATTGTGTCTGGCTAGAAGTCTTCGTCTCGGTGCCAGGATCCCTGTGTTTTGGATCTGAACTCAGACAAAGTCAAAGAGTGTCATTCTATCACGGGATCTGGAGATGCTCAGTAGCCACACCTGCAGAAGTGAATTGGCCGAGCAGGAAAAACACATGTGCTTTCAGTTCTGTACAGTAGAGCCAAGACAGTGGTCATTGTCTGTCCTATCACGCCTGTGCTAAGTGAACAATAAGTAATGATATTTATTATTATCTCCACTGTTATTGACATCTTGAGCAGTAAAAATATGTTTTCTGTAGTTACCCTCTGGAAGTGCTAGTCAAATTGATGTTATTTTTTTCCAATAGGATTCTGTAAAAAAAAATACTGTACACTTTTGAATAGGGGTGGGAACCTAAGGGCACCTCCCGATACGATACGATACACGATACAAAGCTCACGATAACGATATTATCACGATAAATAAAGGACATCATGGGAAAAATAAAAGAAAAAATACACTTTATTTCATGATAAATGAAATGGAGATGCGTAATGTAGCCATATATTAAGTATTGATACCGTTTTTTTTTTTTTTATGTAAAAAATAAATAAATAGTGGGAAAAAAAATCGACACACGGTCTAATCACAGATGTGGAGAGCAAAATACCTACATTTTAAAAGTTATTAACAGATTTCTCAAACTCTTAATATTGAACATTTTTTAAAGTCCTCTGGGGAAAATGAATGGGGATTTGGCCCCGGAACCACAGGGGAATGCCAAGACGGCGGGACTCAGCAGCTTTCTCTCTCCATTTAATAATCTTATTCTTTCCCTGCATTCACGCCATGAGAGTCAGAAATACTGTATGTTCTTAGCCAAAGCGAAGTTACACAAAAATATGCCATAATGATCATAGAATTATACTTTAAATCTGCGAGGGCACTGGAGGAGCCGGTTGCGCTTCTGAAATTTCCCCACTGTGGGACAAATAAAGGAATATCTTATCTTACTTTGATACTGAGTTTGATTTGAAAATGCAAATACTTTTTAATGTGTCTTTAAGGAAAAGAGTCAGAGGCACTTGGATAGATGAAAAAAGTTCTCAGTTCAATACGCCAACATGTTTGAACATACAGTTTTCATCCAGGTTTGTGAGCATTATAATCATGCACAGTGCACTGACCATAGAGTCCCATCGTAGCTTTTTCCTTGAACCCCTCCCCTGCCTTAGGCCATGACCTCTGTAGACTTGTGGAACTTGTGGATCGATAAAACAACAAACAATCGCAGCTTTTATCCCTAAAATAATTGGTAGTTACCTAGTGTAATCTCCTGCTCAACAGAGTCCTGGTTTAAAAATGTGGTCTCCATTCTTCTCCCTGAGACTGGTCCAGTGCAGGATTCCACCCTGAGCCAATTGTATGTGGTTTAATGTTCCCTGAGTAATGGTAGACAACAACTGCTAAGTGTTTTCTTGATTCAGGAAGGATTGTGTGTCTACATTTCCGCAGTTTGGTTAGAAGTGAAACCGCAACTATTCTCAATGGAGGATGTAAAGTAGTTGTCTGTCAAGCATTATTTCCTCATTGTTCAGTTCCAGAGGCAATCGCCCACTTCCACCTTGACCCACATTTCCCCTTATCGTGAGGATTCTAGGCCTTGGTTTTGAGGTTGTCACTTGTTTCAGGGGGTGAGCTGTACACAGGCCTGACAGCGGACTTCCTGGGCAGTGATCATGTGATCCTCCGGACGATGGGAGGTCGCTCCACTATGAGGACAGAGACCGACCAGAAACTACTGCATGGTAAGAGTCCTTCACTGCTAACAGATTAGAATACAATATGTCTTTGATGTGCGCAATCTGAGTGCTCTTGATTCCTCCTTTCATATATTCTGCTGTAATGTGCACAACAATGACATTTCCCCACTGTCGAACTAATAAAGGTCTTATCTTATGTCTGTAATATAGTATTAATATACCATAATAATATATAATATCATATCATATTTAATATAGAAAGATTAATTACAGAAGTAAAAAAACTTTTGAACTCAATTCTACTTGTATAATCCTGGAAATCTAAATTGCTCAAAATATGCATATGGGACTTGGAATAACTATATTTTTAGTTTAAAAGTAATAGATTTTGTTTATTCTTATGGAATGAGCATAATTCAGCAAATGAAAGAGACCCACTGGTAACTCATTGTCTATTCACAAATATTTTATTATATGAACTTCTTGACTCTCCAAATGAATTTAGAGATGAGGTAAAATATTGTTTTGAGACAAGTTTTCTTATGAACTGCACCCATCTGAGTATTAATTGACATAAGTAAGTATTTACCATAAGTGAGTATTTACCATAAGTGAGTATTTACCGCGGCACGGTGGCTGAGTGGATAGCACTCGCGCCTCTCAGCAAGAAGGTCCTGGGTTCGAATCCCATTCGGAACAGGGTCTTTCTGACTGGAGTTTGCATGTTCTCCCTGTGGCTGCGTAGGTTTCCTCCGGGTCCTCCGGTTTCCCTATACCCCTAAAAACATGCACACTAGGTTAAATCCTCCAGCTCTGGTCCTGACCAAGCCGAGCATCAACATCTGGAGATGGGTTCCCGGGCGCTGTTACTATGGCAACCACTGCTCCTGACGTGAGCCTTAGTGGCATCAGGATGGGTCAAATGCAGAGGATTGAATTGTCCTACGGGGATTAATAAAGTGCACCTTTACCTTTTAGTATGACCAGTGTTTTCTCCTCCTTCCAATGAATTTTAACATGACATTTGACTACAATTATGGATCAGAGGTTTTTGTGTTCTTTTTGTTTAGATTTAATTATATGAATGTTTTTATTATTTTTTTTCCCGGCAGACCCCAGATTTGTGAATTTTAACATGACATTTGACTACAATTATGGATCAGAGATTTCCATGTTCTTTTTGTTTAGATTTAATTATATGAATGTTTTTATTATTTTTTTTCCCGGCAGACCCCAGATTTGTGGCCGCCCATCTGATCCCAGACAACGATGACAAAGACGACAACAAAGTATATTTCTTCTTCACCGAGAAAGTGACTGAGCCTGGAGACCGAGAGGGAGCCATCTACTCTAGGATCGGACGAGTGTGTGCGGTGAGATATTTTTTTGTTTGTATTTATAACTTTGGCCATTTATAACAAATTTGAAAGCCCATATAAAGTTTGTGCAGATTGGCAGAAGTTTAATCGTGTTCTTTTCTCCCCTGGGAAAAGATAAACAGCCTCTCGGGGCTGTGCAGTTTTGCGGTTTTCTCAGGAGACTACAAAAGAAATCTAATATCCCAGATCTGTCCAAGACTCACACAGCTGTCAGGCCCCAGCTCTGCTCCAGCCGCTCAAAATGCTCCTCACATTCTTCCACGGATCCATTTCAAACACATTGCGTTGTCTCTGCACGCATTCCATATACAAACAGTCTCTTCAGCTTTCTCTATTATCTCTGTTGTCAAAATCCGCCTGATTTTACCATTAGCATTTCTTCATGTATGATTCATTTTTCCAAGAAATAGTCAAGTTCTATCAAATCTTCTCATGATGAAAGGTTTAAAAAGAGGATCTGTCGTTGAAGCACCTGCTGCTAGAGCACAGATGTACAAATGTATTCTTGCAGCTACACCACATACTACTAGTTTTCAAACATGGACCAAAATCTACATTTAGTTCACACTTAAAGCTGGGGTACCTCACCCACGTAAATAATTCCACTGGGGAAAAAAAGATCTTTGTATTTGATCGAGAAAAAAAAAAAAACAGGCCAATAGGTTTGTAGGCAGCTTCTGTTGCTAAAAAGGGCAGGGCCTGGTTAGTTCTGTGATGGGAAACACCAGGTGCCATAATGGAGGTAACCTGTCGCTGTCTCATCATGAATGGTTGGTGGTGGTCAGAGGGGCTGATAACACATAAAGGTTGCATCGCTTCTGTCAGTGTGCCCCATAGACTGTAAATATTAATGGACCAAAAAATGTGCTCTACTGGAGCTATCCAAATTGGCCGCGAGTGGTCCCGCCCACAAGAAAATTGTAAAAAAAATGCATCTGCGCATGCGTCAGCCGGCGTGAGCCCCATTCATTTAAACGAGTGACTTCAAAAATTCACAGCGAGTAAACTAGAGTGGTCCAAAAAAATTCACCCCCCTCAGCATTGACACACATGTGGAACGGAGCTTTGGGCCAAGAGCCAACTTTTGGACCATCCTGTAAAGACGTTTTTGAGAGGTAAGAAGATGCTATATGTTAGGGCGACAGTATAGCTCAGTTGGTAGAGCCTTTGAGCCAGAGGGTCGTGGGTTCGAGCCCGACCTTCACCATCGACTCCCACTGTCTGCTGTCGTTGTGTCCTTGGCAAGACACTTAACCTCTGGGAACACCTGATGCCACAGTGGGGCGGCTGCGGCTGTAAAGTGCCAAACTGTCGATGTGTCCTCTGGTGTGTATGAATGGTTGGTGGTGATCGGAGGGGCCGATGGCACATACTGGTTGCCTCGCTTCTGTCAGTGTGCCCCAGGGCAGCTGTGGCTACAGTAGTAGTTTATCACCACCGTGTATGGAGTGAAAGAATAATGACATGTGAAGCTGTATAAAACCGATGCATTATTAGCATTGGCTAATTCTTATTCCAGGTCCACCCCCATCGGCCCGGGGTGGTATTGCAAGCATGTCAGCGCACGTCATTTTGGCCACTTTTGAGCCGGGACCCGTCCCCACTGGTGTGCCCCAGGACAGCTGTGGCTGCAGTGCTAGTTTATCACCACTGTGAATGGAGTGAATGAATATTAACATGACATGTCTTTGAGTGTCCAAATTCATATCTCAGAAAACATGATGTCTTTGGTAGCCACTGTTGGATGGGAACTGCAGTATGTTGTTGATCAAGGATTTTTATTATGAATGAGGACCCAAAATGCAGGAATGTCAACAAAAATGTGTTTAATGATGATAAAATAAAGCGTCTGTTTTGAAAGTTAGATGATTTAAATGACACATACAGTACTTCCAATGTTTGCAGTTGGAAAATCCAGTACCCTGCTTGAAGTTGATAATAAATGGGTCAGAAGTTGATACTTTTGCTTATGACTGTGTTGTTATGTGTTTGTCAGAACGATGTTGGGGGACAGCGAGTCCTGGTGAACAAATGGAGCACGTTCATTAAAACCAGACTGGTGTGTTCTGTGCCGGGGCCTCACGGCATTGACACACACTTCAACCAACTGGGTGAGACACACACACACACGCACACACTGTACAAATAGTTACACTGGACCAATTTACGCCCTTTCTGCTAGAGATTTTGTTTGTTGCTGCCTAGAATGAATCTGATTTGTAAGTTAATGGTTGGTGGGGGTCGAAGGGCCTGATGGCATATACTGCTTGCCTCACTTTGGTCAGTGTGCCCCAAGGCAGCTGTGGCTGTAGTAGTCGTTTATCACCACCATGTATAGCGTGATTATTTATTGACATGTTAGGCCTCTTTGAGTGTCCAATAAGCACTATATAAAACTGATGCATTGTTATTATTATTATCATGTATAATATTTGCATTGGGACAGGCATGACTGAACCACTATGTCATAAAGTTAAGATATCATAAAAGTATTCAGTTAATAAAAGGCAGATTCGTGAGAACTGACTGTTACATTATGCCGTTAAACAGAGGATGTGTTCTTGCTGAGGACTAAAGATGAGAGAAACCCAGACGTCTATGCAATCTTCAGCACCATCAGGTATTTATCAAACCTCTTTACAACTCTACACATTTAAAAACATTTTATCAAGTACCTTTATGACCTTTAAAATGTGCAATAACAACTGTATTTGACTCTCCGTTTTCTTTTATTATGATTTATGTAGAGACACACCATATGTTTCTCTTGTCTGTGCAGTAACGTGTTCCAGGGCTTTGCGGTGTGTGTTTATCGCATGGCTGACATCAGAGAAGCCTTCAACGGGCCCTTCGCTCACAAAGAGGGCCCTGAGCACCAGTGGGGGGCGTACGAGGGCCGGGTCCCCTACCCCAGACCAGGAGTGGTGAGTCACAGAGACCGGAAGACTGTGATATCAGAGAAGAATAACGTTTGTCAGCACAATTGTTATAACTAAATGCTAAATGTGGAAGAAGCCCATTTGAACATTAGCTTCGACATGAACATAGGTATTTAGGCAGACGTGTTGCTAGCATGGTATCTGATTGGTCAATCCTTGTGAAACATATCTGGGGTTAAAATATAAACCCAAGGATCAGAGAGATAGCTAAACCACCATTTGTTAAGGAGAAAAATGGTGAGTTTGACATAAATGGTTACTGAGTTTGAGGAGTTTAATTATGAATGCAAGTCAATAGCATCTAGACCGAGTTGGAGCAAAACTTAGCCCATGAGCACTTCCACTGTATCCATTAATGTTTTTTTACAAGCTGTGAGCCAATTATCAACATCGTAAAAAAATAATGGCTTGATATACAGAATCTCACTATGCGTGTGTCGAGAAGTAAACGGACTGAACACATTCAGACATTCAGACAAGATTTCCCACACCCTAGATCTTGTGTCTCTCCAAGGCTGGCACTGCATCCCTAAATAAAGAATCCAAACTGTCATAATACGCTAAGAACTGATGGTACAAGGGCGTTTTTAGTGAACTGTGTCACTGGGTTTTGCGCGTCAACTTGAATACTAATGTTTTACCGTATCACTGTAAGCCTGAGATGGCACTAATCCAATCAACCCAGATAGAGTAATATGAAAGAAAAAGAGTCTGCTTTATATGACCATTAAGAATTGTAAAGAGATTCCTTGTGAAATAATATCTTAAGTAGAAAATATAGACGGTGGCCATACAGGAGGCACATGCCAGACCTATTGTACATGTTTTTAGCGGTAGAGGAAACCGGAGCACCTGGAGGAAACCCACACAGACACAAGGAAAACAAGCAAACTCTACACAGAAAAGCCAGGAGGTGGAATCAAACTCGGGACCTTTTTGCTTTGAAACACAAGCGCTAACTACTGCGGTACCGTGCCGCCATATTCTTTCAGAGATCCGTTGGTTTGAAAGCCCAGGACAGCTGTTAATGGGAGGTGTGAAGAGGACCTTTCTGTGGCCTCTCTGTTTGGGAGATCTGTGGAACATGACCATCGCTGTGTGCGTTTCTCACCGAGACAGCTTCACTCTGCTCCTGCGTCTCATAACTCAAACATGTGTCTTTTACATTATCTCAGCTCGTGTCCAGTCCGTCCTGTTGTTTGGAGAATAGAGTAAAAATATTTTGGAAAAGATCACGCTTCAAATTACGCTCTCCAACACCAATTATCCGAGCGTTATCGTCATCTGATCGTATACTTACTCCATCTCACGAGGACATGGGCAATAAATCTACTTACTTTGCTTTTTAAGTTTTGCTCGAGTGATGGATTTGAGCCATCAAGTCAAAGCTAAAATTATAATTCATTAGTTATTTTCTATTGATTTGTGTTTTAGCCTTTGTATGGCAGAGTTATTCAAACAGGCTGTTTGTGGAGACATTTAGACGTATTACCCAGGATTTGAGTAAGTATGACTCTCCATTCTTTTAATGTAGGCCTATTGGTCCAGCACTGATTATGGATCTAATACTTTTCACAATAGGCACTTCAAATATATATGTTAAACAAGAATATTAGCGCTGAGAGCCAAAGCCATTTCCTAGTTTGTGACTTCCTGTTACTCACAATGGCAATACAAATAATTCTGATTCTGATTGTGTGTGTGTGTGAGTGGCTTCGCAGTGCCCCAGTAAGATCACAAACCAGCCCGGCAGAGAGTTCGGCAGCACCAAGGACTTCCCCGACTCCGTGCTGCACTTCACCCGCAGCCACCCGCTCATGTGGAGGCCCGTGCACCCGGCCCAGAGGAAACCAGTCCTGGTCAAAACCAACGTCCCGTACCGACTGCAGCAGATCGTGGTGGACCGTGTGGAGGCAGAGGACGGACAGTACGACGTCATGTTCATCGGCACCGGTACAACTGCTAATACTGTACAAACATGTGATCTAGGAGACAGTGATAAGAACATTGAATTACAGGTACATTTCTGTGTACATTTGCTGTAAAATGTGAACTGAGCTCCAATCATACTAATAGCTATTGTAAGCAGTTACTGAATCATACTACTAATACCTTATAGACTATTGCTTGTTTGAATACAATTTTTTTTAGAATTGTGGTGTTCTGCCATGAGCTGAAAGAAGATGTTAGCATATGCCAGACATTTCTATGGGTTTAGTTTATACTCTGGGTTCTTTTTTTTGATTCACATTGAGCGCCACACTCAATTAGTCTTACAGAGTTCCTTTGAGAGAGGCTTGGCTCACATCTGCTTCTTTAGAAGTAGCATGTACTGAAAACACACACCAAGCAGCAGATCTTGTCTCATTGATGGTAATCCAGGTGAGGTCAATCTTTACAGAGGAGTAAATTATTCTAAAGTGATGAACATTTTGTGGAGAAATGTTCAACTTGTTTTGTCCCGAGTGACCATGAAGAGGCTGGTCCTTATACACACATACACATACCGTATACACACAATAACACATATATATTCGTACACATATAAACACATAAACACACATACACATTATACACAAAGCCCTCGCTGCTTGTTTCAGCTCGTGATTGTCTTTCAGATGTTGGGACTGTTTTGAAAGTCATGGCACTGCACACTGGAAACAGCCTGGAGACAGAGGTGATCACACTGGAAGAACTTCACGTTTTCAAGGTGGGTTAAAGGTGGAATACAAGACTCTTGATCAAGTAAATAAACCTGTATGCATACTATCTAGCTGGTGCTCCACGGGCCCCTGCCTCTGTGTTACATGTAACTATAATCCAGTCCAACCTTTTTACTTGCAGGTTCCTACTCCTATAACCTCAATGGACATATCCGTCAAAAGGGTGAGTGTCTTTCATTATCATATAGGATACTGTATATACACAAATGTGAATAATCTTCATAGACTTTCTCTCACCGACAGCAAGCCGTGTTTGTGGGCTCTGAGGTGGGCGTGGTGCAGGTGAAGCTGCACCGCTGTGAGACCTATGGTAACGCCTGTGCTGAGTGCTGTTTAGCCCGAGACCCGTACTGCGCCTGGGACGGGGCGTCCTGCTCCCGATACGTCCCCAACAGTAAACGCCGCTATCGCCGCCAGGACATTCGCCACGGCAACCCCGTCCTGCAGTGTGTCGACCAGAACCTGAGTGGTAAGACAGAATATTGTCCATGTAAAGAAGGCATATGAAAAAACTCAATTAATTGCTTTTACTGTGGTATAATTGTTTTTCCTACTCATTCAAACGCAAGTATACTGGACCATATACTGTATATAGACTATAAGATACCCTTGGACTAATCTTACTACTATTGGGTAGATGGGATACTATCTGATCCCATCTACCCACCGCATACAGCTCAATACATCCATTTGTTTTGTGCAATCCTGCCTAGAGACAAACACACACACACAGACGTCTCATTACCCATTGGTGGTATAATACATTTGCAATTACAAAGTCCATACATTCTCTGTTGCCTGTTTAAAGCGCCTGACGACTTTGCCCCTGTGGAAGACAATAGAATAGAACAGATTCTGATGTTTGCTCAGGTCTGTGCTGCTCCTTCAGAAATGGACAACGTGACAAAGTGTCAGAGTGTTGCAATGTGTTTGTGTGTTTTCTTTCCTCTGAAGTGGAGCCCTGCACTTAAGGATCAATAATGTTTAAAGGGGCTGTTAATAAATATTGCACAATAGCAGCATTTATTGGAGTAGGATGAAAGCATATGACGTCTTTGCATCAACTTATCCCCACAAAAGTAACATTTTGTGAATAAATAGAAATTCTGTATTAAAGCTGGGGTACCTAATTCCTTCTTAATATTGTTTTCCCCAATAGAAAGAGTCATATGAAAATAAAATAAAAATCCAATCACAATATTCCTTCTTTTGATGTGATTGCATTAATTTCCTCCGAGTGCTACGGTTACTCCTAGTTGACCTAGTGGCATTTGGGTCAAACACAGAGACTATATAGTATGCCTTAACCATTATCATGTTTTTTTGTTTTAACTTTTGTTCCCTCATCCAGTTATAAGATATATTTGTTCACAACATTACAGTGCTGCTGTGTTGACTCCTGTCTGTGTGGTTTGAACAGAGGAGGTGGACGTCCCGGAGGAAAGAGTGCTTTATGGGACGGAGAACAACAGCACGTTCCTGGAGTGTGTTCCCCGCTCTCCACAGGCCTCCGTCAGCTGGCTGCTCCAACGGGACGACCGCAAAGAGGAGGTGAGTCAGGAGCCAAATATATAACGTAACTCTCACTTGTCCTGCTTTGCTCTTGATTTTGAAGTATTTAGATTTGCACTGGTTTGAAATGTTTGATTTTGTATTATGCACTTTTTTCCTTTGCTTTGTCTTATCAGGTTATAAAGTATTCAAGCTTGCATCCAGTTTGATTCATTAAGGAAAAGATGACTGCATCATATTTAGCACCATGCTACTTTCCACCTGTAGTCCTTGACAATACCATACCAACTATAAACCATGCACATTAATATAAAGTTCAAATAAAAAATTATTATGATTATTACTATTGTTATGTTTTCGGAATGATACATTTTATTTTTATTTTTGCTGCTACTGGACACCTGAATTTGTTACGTGGTGGAAAGGAGGAGGGACCCAAAATTCAATACTGCAAAAATATAATTTAATCCAAACAAGAATCCAAAACATCAGAACTGAAGACGAACCAAGAACAAACATTCTATGAACTGACAAGAGGGAAAGAGCACAGGAAATTTAACTGAGAGACACAGGTGAGACAAATCAGGGCAGGCAATCAACAGAACAGGAAGTAAAACTCCAAAAGACACAGGGGAACAGAATTACAAAATAAAACAGGAACCAAAAATGACCACCATGACAGAATTTCTCTGACGAGGATCAATAAAGTATCTATCTATCTAATAGCATACAATGAGTTACTAAAATACATATAAAAATAAACTTCAATACAATCTCCATCCAAACTTGAAGAGACATACTAGCTGCTGGGTAGGTTTGTGAAAGAGATCAAGGAACCAATCAGTTCTGCAGCTTTGAACAACCGTGAATTAATATTTTTCTATTTTTAAAGTCAATGTCAGTTGCTTTTTGAATCATGGAAACCAAGGAAACCAGTTCCTGATTGGACAAACCTGGAGTTGAAAGAGGAAATATGCTACATTATTTTTTTTAGATGATATTGTGACTACTTTGTCTTTGTTTGTTGTTAGATTCTGAAATATATTCAGTAGCAGATATATGGATAAACAAGTGTATCAGCCTGCTCTATCCCTATGCTACCATTTGAAACCGGCTAACAACACAGACAGTGGATTGGAAAGATTCTCAAAAATCAACCTGAGAAATGTAATCTGTAAACGACCCTGAGCATGATGTCATAGTGGTATAATGACATCATATTGTTACAGGACTGAGACAGAGGCTTTTACACAGAAGGGGCGGAGCTACATGTGTGTGATAGAAGGTCCTGATATTAGCATGGATGGATCTAGAATCAACTCCAGGTCTGTTTTTAATGTGGGACAAAGTTATGGCATGGTAAAAAAAAGATGTTTGCGTATTATGTCTTCATCCCTATCCAATTGTAAATCATCAGGCATATAGAATACTGCTGTGTGTATAGCAGTAAGAAGTGCTGTACCTTTAAATCAGGAGCTAAACTTAGTGGTGAATGGAAAGACACAACAAGGTAACTTAAGAAAACACCAAGAATGCTCTCTTCGGCAAATGCTTTCCAGGGTGAATGTGGCACATACCTGACACTTTTCACGGCAGTTTGACATATGGTTAAAATTAGAACTTTATATTTCAAAGGTGAAAGGAAGTCGTGTTTTCTTGGATAAACACGGATCTTTTTTCTGAATTGTGCACCACCTACACTTAAATTGTCACTCATTCTTTTCTCCTACGCACCTTTCTAAAGAGCTATTTCAGTAAAGTGTGTCGCCTGCTTCTCCACACCCACACTGCAATTTCTCCTGTTTGAGGTTGTGTTTGTCCAAGGTCTATGGTCTGCATTATAGCATTACCGCTTTCACTGTCTCCCAGAAAATAAACTGCCAACTGTCACTCAACAAATGAAAGGCAGTCTTATTTTTGGCAGGTTTCGAAAAGTGTGTGGAGTGACAGCTTCTTTTTAGAAATAGGTGAAAAGAAAGAAATGTTTTGTTGAAATGTGTCTTGAGACGGTCAAATATAAAGTATGTAAGGAATAATGCACCATTGCTTTGAAATGGGCAGCGATCTTTATTGGTTTGAGAGGTCCGTCATCGAAAACAATGATCTGTAGAACGTATTGAAATTCAAATCAATGTGTGTGTTTTTGTTTCATAAACAATACATTTTTTTCTCCCAACAGAAAGAGTTTGCCAGTAACATATGATAAAATATGTCACTATTTGTCACTATTTGATATTTTGGGTTGAGAACTATTTGGCTGAGAGACAATGAACATAAGCAAAGCCAAAAGTACATAGTGAAAACTATTGGTAAAACCAACTTGTATGGAGAGAGAGGCTCTAGTTGCATGGTTTTTCATAGTTTTATTAAACTTAAGTTTACCATGATTTGAAAGTTAGATATCCCAGCTTAAAAAATATATAACATCAGAAATGCCAACAATTATTTGTAGATGTTAGTCATGTGTCTTTTTGTCCATTTCTGTCCAAAAACAATGTGTGAAAACCCATTGATACGAAGCCAAATCACTGCAAATCCATATTTAAGGCGCTCAGATACTTCCGCACTAACCCTGGCTCCTCTGGCTCCTCTTCAGGTGAAGCTGGATGAGCGTGTGATGGCCACAGAGCAGGGCCTCCTGTTCCGTCAGCTGTTCCGGCAGGACGAGGGCGTGTATATCTGCCGCTCCCGGGAACACGGCTTCACCCAGACCTTGTCCCGTCTAAACCTGGAGGTGCTGCCCGCGGACTCCGTGGACGAGCTCATGCAACGGGAAAGCCACCCAGACTACAAGGACCGCTCTGGGCTGGGACACCGCCCCTGGACCCCCTGCCACTCCTACACTCGCGGCAGTTCCAGCTCGCCCATCGGCCAGTCCCGCACCTGGTTCAAAGACATCATGCAGCTGATCGGCCCCGCCAACCTGCCCCACGTGGAGGAGTACTGCGAGCGCATGTGGTGCAACGACAAGCTGCGGCGGAAGCACAAGAGTATGTTGGAGAAGTACCGGCAGGCCCAGGACAGCGCCCGGAAAGCCCGCAGTAAGAGTGTGAGCGAACGCAACAGGACGCCGCGAGATCTGGGCCGAGTCAGCCAATAAGAGGACGGCATCAGAGAAGAAGAGATTGGCACTGAGAAATAACCAAGCACATGAAAAAAGACATTTGAGTTTTTAGGGTTGTGTTCTGGATTCGACCAAAACGATGAAAACACAAAGACTATGGTGTTCAGTGAAATGACAATACAGGAACAATACCACCTTTTTTTTGTATGTGATTTATGTACTTTTCAGAGCTTTGAACCACATTTCAACTTGGATCTTCATCAAAAACAATTCTAGAGTTGTTTTAGCCCCATGCCACAAACATAACTCCGCCCCCTCTTTATCTAAAAGCTCATGTCTCGTACATGCATCGTACCACTATGACATCATGATTTTTTTTTCCTTTTAAAATAAAGGTTGTTTCACTAATTAAGTTATGGTAATTTATCGACTGACATTATTTAGAATTGCGCGGCTGTTTGCTATAAAGCACAGTTTGCTACAAAGTGGCTAAGTTGGTAGAGCATTGGTCTTTGGACCTATTGATCATGGGTTCAATCCCTCCTCGCCCCATGTCATCTGCTCCCACCGATATCTGCTGTCGTCGCGTCCCTGGGCAAGACACTTAACCCCAGAAATGCAATAACAGGGATGAAAATGACAAGTCCTACCCATCCCTCTGGTAGCAGAGGTAGTTACAGGTGGAAAGCCATTCATATACCACCATAAATTTCACATCGACAAATGAATCGACAAAATAAACACCTTATTATAAGGTCTAAAAATGAATGCATAATATTTCCTCTGTAATGTGAATGTTAGCTCGATAAATGATAACAGAACGTTTTTTAAAATGACTCCAACCCTGACTCCTCTATTTGTATGACAGATGATTGTTTTAGATTATAGCAGCGTCCAGTCTATATGCATCCTGTAAAACAAAACTTACAGACATTCAATTTCTTTTTTGACCAGTTTGTCAACATTGAAACACAAATCCATCCCATTCGTTGTTCTTCTGTTGAAACAATCACACTTAGTTCTGGCAGATCTCATCGTCCTTCCTTCCTACAAAACCTGTACCTGCAAATGTTTCATTTGTTTTTAGTAACTTGATCTACACTGAACGCAGCTTATTCTTTGGATCACAAAAAAACGCTTGTGCAACGACAGTCGACTTTTCAACAGACTCGAACCATGATCACTGTAAGTAAGTAAGTAATGTACATAAATCATTGGTGCAAAAACATTGTTCTTAGTACAGTAAATAGTCTGAAATGCAGCTTCTCGGCCTCAACACACTCCTGTGCCATAAAACAATAAGTGCTGTTGAGTTGAAACTAAAATGGAAAAATGAGATTAAGTAATGAAATGATGTCTGGAGAGTTAACTATTAAAGACAGATTTTTATAAAGAAAAGTTAATGGAGAAATATATAAAAATCTAGTACTGCAGCGATCTCCACTTTTCCTGACTCAAGTCGCCACATATGCAGACACATCCGGCTGAGACCATAATATCTGAATTGACAAGAGTTTTGTCAACAAAAAATCTATAACCAACATATTTTTCTCGAAGGCCTCGATAGAAATCCTGGTTTATTTCTTGTTTTGTCGTTAATGATTTAAGAATCATAACAAGACCCTTTTTAGTTCTGCGGCCACATATACTTTACCAGTGAGATTAGCTCAACGTGGTGAGTTCTGGCAACCCGGATCACAGACTTTCTGATTGGTAAAACAATGGAGGGCGGGACATCGAAATGAAAACAATAACGATTTAGATTTAGGGGCTGTAAAACTAATTTCAAAATTCAAATATCTCAACCAAAATACTGTTATCAGTTACAGTAATATTCAAAATGATGTATTAATGCCTTTTGACAGATTAGGGCCATTTAAGATGACTTGACATGAAAATCTTAACTATTTTAAGTAGCAATATATCGGTCCTTGTGGCATGAAGCAGACAGCCTCATCAAAAGTACAAAAAAAACATTCTCTTTTATAAAATAGTGAAAGTTTATAAAGTGGAAGCGGTACTGAACGTATGTTATGACTACTATATCTGTAATGGTGAGAGTTTGTGCAGCTGTGAGCCCATGATAAACACGTGTTGTTTTTATGAAGTGACAGTCCCACAGTGAAGAGCATGCTGTTTAAAGTGCATGTTGATGGTTTTGTTTACGGTCTCATTTAAACTGTAAATTTGTACAGAACATTCTAGTAATCTCTTTTTTTGTATTGTAATTTTGTATTCCTGTGTACTTAAAGCTGGGGAGCCTATCTTGTTTAGAACTTACAGAATCATTGTGATCGAGTCTAATGTTGTGAACCAATCAGAACTCAAAATGTTTAACCTTTTATTATAGAAAACCATAATTTGTATAGTTTTAACGTGTGCCCTGTGCGTCACTATTTGGCACTTTAGGCTGAGAGCTGATTGGCTGAGAGAGGGTGGTCCTATCTTTGCAAAAGTTGATCTAAAGATGTGACGGAGGCAAAAAAGAAGCAAACATGTGAAAACTATAGTGAAAGAAACAGCTATAGCTTTCTGTGTTTGAAAGTTAAGTCCCCCAGCTTTAAGTGGTTATGATGTTATATGTTTGTGTAGTTTATCCTGTAAATAGATTGTAGTTGTTGGTGTAAAGAACAAAAATGAAGTCTAAAATGATACCACTCGGAGGAAACTTTACAATTAGGACACACAATCCACGTCAAAACAAACTGTTCTGTTTTATTTATGAAGTTAATGTTCAAATGTGTTAAAATTTAACAACAAAGACAATAAATGTGGACTTTTCCCCTTAATATTGTGTTTATTATTTTTATTTATATCATGTACACAAACTTCACACAGCAGCACCCCTGACCCTTTCACTGGAGATGTTTGCGTTTTTTTAGATATCTATACATTAAAAAGTACAATATGATCTAAATGTAGAATATCTTTAAATAAGGTCTGTTGCAATGAGTTTTGATTTTCTAAAAAAGATCTTCATGATTATAAACTCAATGTGGAGCTGTTGTTTATGGAGAGTCAACCTGAGCTGTACATCATGAATCTTGAGAGGATTTCAATATTACAAGTCAACAATAGAGGGCAGCACCTGTGAGATCACTTGGTAACAAAAACGCAATTCTGGCGATCCTTTTTGTCCCTTATCAGCCATTGTATATCAAGATATGGGCATTGACCTGGAGCATCTTCCAGCTCTCATGTATATTTATAGGTGCACTCCAAGCCTATAACAACAATTACTAATAATTATGGTGGCGAATATTCTTAAAAAGGTCATATTTGTGATTGATTAACACATTTTTTTTCATTAGGACAACTGTGAAAACTGTGAAAGTTTTGGTAACACTTTATAATAACTACACCTTATTTAGGCTACATTTTTAAATGACACTTAATTATTCATGAACAATTCATTAATTAAGTGTGACCAAGTGTGAAACATGGGTATAGTATTAAATCACATGATGGGTGAGTTCCCAGAAGAAAAATCTCGAAAATATCTCAGAGGTAAGTCAAGGACAGGCGGACAAAGTGTAGTTCAGTGGGGCCCCATTCATAAGAGCAGGCTCCGCTGTGACTGATGAAGATTAATCTGAGGGCCTCTCTGCTCCGAGCTGAGGAGAGATGCTCTGGAGACATCCCACTGTACGCAAACATTAGCCCCAATAGAAACGTAATCTGAACTCTAATGTGAAAACCGTGTGCAGCAGGGGAAACAGAACAGTGCTTATCAGGAGATGATAGAGGCCGGACAGAGGTGGTGATAAAGGCAGCCGTCATCTTTGCTTCAGAACCATGAACAGCAGTGCGTTTCCAGACAGTCTGACATTTTATTCTGTATAGTGCATTTTTCAGATCTCAAAACATTTATACATCAAAGCTCACTATCGATGTGTAACGGTCACAGCGGTAGTTGCAGAAGGACACATTTTGATTTTTTTTTTTTAATTTTGTAGGATTGACTTGGCTTGAGAAAACTATTGCTAATTATACTGTGACAACCTTAAATTGAAATATTAAAACAAAAAATATAAAATGAGGAATAAAATATAAAATGTCTTGCTCTGTTCCTGTTTGTGTCCACTAGATGGCGCCTAATATAACAGCAGTGGAGCCATCTGTTTTATGTGACGTTTTAGAGAATTATCAGACATGTTAGAGACATACACACCATCTTGGATCCTGAGAAGCACACGTACTTGCCTCCTGCTGGTGTCAAATTGCTGCAATATGGGAAATCAATTAAGTTTATCTATAAAGCACAATTCAATGTGCTTTACAAATACATACAATTGTATTCATATAACACTATAAAACATATGAGTAAAATCAACAAAATAAAAACAACACTAAGAATTAAAACTCAGTCATAAGCACAGCTAAATAGAATGGTTTCAGCCTGGACTTAAACCATGCCAGAGATGAGGCCTCCTGTACATCTTCAGGAAGACTGTTTCAGATGCTAGGGACAGAATTGCTGCCTCCCCATGTTTAGTCCTGACTCTGAGCAGTAACAGGAGGCCCGTCCTGTGCTCCTCAGAGTCTGAGTTGGTTCACATGGCACTAACATGTCACAGATGTTTTTTGGTGCGAGGCCATGGAGAGATCTCTGAGTCACGGGACGCCAGTGCAGAGACCTGAGCACAGGTTCTAGTCAGGACTCAAACTTCTACTCTTAGAGATTCAAATCCATGCTTAATAAGAAGTTCTGCATTGCAAGTTACCTCATAATTGACATATGCGATATAGCCGTAACTATTACAGTACCATAGAAGTGATGGTGTGGTTTAACAAATGCAGTTCTCAGGTTGCCATTATTAAACTGTGCCTGAAGTAATTTATCATGGAACAAAGACAATGTATATCCTGCTCTTGGGCCACAGGGGGATGTGTGTAAGTGTGTCACAAGCTGAGGTGTGACTTTTGTTCATAATGAGAGCCATAACTCATCAGTGCTGATACCATCTCTATGGGACAGAACCTTATGACAAAGTGAATCTGACCCAATTTAAGTAAACGTACATGATCGATGAGGC